ACAAATACAATGTTGTTGATGTATAAATAATTGAAATTGTAATGCTTATTCATATTATGGGATGACAAACGTAGAACTGGGGTCTGGGCAAAACAAAACAGGTAGCCTGGTTTGTGTCCAATTGTGGGGCCCGTAATAAGCGACTGGAATACGCGCGCGAACTTTCCCGGTATATACAGGTCGACATTTACGGCAGGTTTGCAATCATTTAACAACTAATCACAAACATCTAACTTAGTATTTTCAATCCCCTTTGCCTGCATTCACCCATTAAACCCATGTCACATAATTAAATATTTATATACTTTTAATTTTTCACATTTAATGTTTATTAACTTATTTGTTATTTGATTTTGGGGTCAGTTGTGGTAATAAGAAGTGTCCGCGAAATAAAGCGAAGAAGTGTTTCGAAATGTTGAACAAAGACTATAAGTTTTATTTGGCGTTTGAAAACTCAAACTGCAGGGACTATATCACCGAAAAGTTTTATGTGAACGGACTCGGGTTTGTCACATGAAATATTCAGTATAATCATTGATTTTTATTTATGTCTTATGTATTAAATTTCTGTTTCAGTCATAACTCACTCGATTATAACTTAATACCGATAGTGATGGGCGCCCATCCAGACGACTACCGGCGCTCATCGCCACCCCATTCCTATATACACGTCGACGACTTTGAATCTCCCAAAGCTTTGGCCAAATACCTACACTTGTTGTCATCAAACCCTCACTTATATAACCAATACTTTGAGTGGAAATCTAGCGGCGAATTCATCAACACTTACTTCTGGTGTCGTGTCTGCGCTCTACTGCACGCACAGCACCCGAAGCCCTCCCGTAGTTATCGAGACATATCGGAGTGGTGGGCGCCCACCACGGCCTGCAACAATGGCATCCAGAGGTGGCCACAACTATCTCAATCACCCAATCATACACTGATCACTGATTCATATAAATAAGAAACAAACACTAATTCCTTGTTTTATTTGTTATATTATTATTGTTGTTGTTGTTATTTATGATATGATTTAATTTACAACCAATTATTTTAGTCTCATTTTCACAAACATGCATCAAATCTACCAAATTCTGGTCTCAATTGCCTAGCAAATCCTATTCAAGTAATATTAGTATTTTATTTATTAAATTATTTTGTTATAATTTTAAATATATTTTGTACTACAAGAGTAACGTTTAATTTATTTATATATTAATTTTTAATTGTTTAACTCAAATTATTTATTTTTTTAATTTACCGAATTAATTGCATTATAATAAAACAGAGTGCAATATGAGTTTACATGTTTATTTAAGTTATTTGAATATTTATTTTGAATTTTAGTCATAATTAGTCAATAAAATTGTGAAATCAGTTATTATATAATTAAAATACAACAATTATTTAGTTTAAAAGTAACACAAAGATTCTGTGATTTTGTAATTAATATTAATAAGTTTCATATAATAATAAAATGATTTAACTAAATTATTTTTAAAATATTATTATTTTAAAACCGTATTAACATTTAAGATAAAATTACTACCGTAATAACTTATTTAAATTAGACATATTTTTTGTCTGAATTATTTCGTAAATTCTATATAAATATTGTAAATTTTTATTCATATCAGTAGTGATTTCACTCAATTTACAATTATTCAAATTATAACCTTTAGATCTAATCGCAGTTATTATATTATTTGAAGATACAGGATCCTTGAAGTCATAAAATAGGTTTTATATGAATGAATGAATGAATGAATGANAGATACAGGATCCTTGAAGTCATAAAATAGGTTTTATATGAATGAATGAATGAATGAATGAATGAATGAATGAATGAATGAATGAATGAATGAATGATCACCATCACTATTAAACCAATTACCATCACTAGTATTATTTCATAAATAGTATGCATAATAACTTTTAATATCAAATACTATCTGTCTAATACAAAGTAAAGCAGGATGGCCATTTTACAACATTTGTAATGACATTCTCAAAACCCATACAGAAATTCAATTTTATTTTATATGAGTTGGAAGTAAGAAAACTTATTATAGAAAAGCTGAAATTAATTAGAAAATGTGAAAAATAAGTATAAAAGTAATGATTTCTGTGAATTATTTTTTAAGTCAGGTGAACCAGGTACTATACTAACAATCAATAATTTTTGCTCTTGTTTGGTCTAATATAATAAAAATAAATATTGATATTAGTTGAAAGTAATGCTAAATAAAATTTATTAAACGTAATTATTTTGTAGATTATTAATTAGTTTATTTAATTATAGTAGTCTTTATAAATGAAGTCTTAGAAACTGTAGAGTTATGAATAACAATATAAATATATTTATTATATTATTTAAAAGTTTATTTTTTATAAATGCAGCTCATTATTTTCACTATAATTATGATCAAAAATTTATTGAAGATTATAATGACGACTATAAAAGTAAGTTAGCACTAAATTATTTTAAAATTGTTGTAAATTTTATATTATTAATTGATTGTTTTAGATTTATATGAAGTGTATGGTGGGAATGACTTGAAAGTGAGGCAAAACAATGATTACTCGACATCTAAATTATTTGCGTCTAATTATCATACTTTAGATCATTTGAGTGATCCATTTAAGAGCAATGTTCCCATTAATGACCGGTCAGTGGCTAATATAGCACCACATGAGTCGTACAAATCATATAAACCCATTCACATAGAGGGCTATAATTACGGTCCTTATGGAGTTGGATTTGCAAAAGTAGATATTCAACACATTATTGATGATATTGGGTATAAATATTGGGACGGGAGGCACGTACCCCCTGATCCACACTCGTTGGGACCCGGGGGACAATTGCCAGAAGAGGTTGACCCCGGAGGAGGATATCTGAGAATGAAAAGGAAATTTTTATATCCAAATCCTAGTCTAGCGTAATCATAAGTCATAACAATTGTATGCTATTATATAGTGCACAATATTTGTGAACACATTTTCTAGAAACAAAAGAATAATTTAGTGTTACAAATAAAATTGGAAATCATTGTAAAATTTAATTATTGCATTGAAGTGGGAGTACATCAAAATCTCGAAAAATAAAATCTCGAGAAACGAAATCTCGAAAAGTAAAATCTCGAAATACAAAATCTCGAAAATTTTTATAATCTATTTTTTAGTTATTTTATTAACTTTTAAAACATATTTTACAAAATATTTACAATCTTGTTTAATTCATGGAACTACATGGATAAATAGCCTCGTATGAACAAAAACTAACCAAAATAATTTCAAAAGTAGTTTATAATTAAAATTTTCTATTTTGTGTTTAAATTTAGCTCATTTTGTGCATGTATATAATTATATAAGTAACTAACTAATTATAAAATAGACTTAAAAATTTTCGAGATTATGTATTTCGAGATTTTGTGTGTATACGCATTGAAGTCACATTAATTCATTGAATAAAATATTTAAATTATAGTTTATTAAATAACAATTTGTTGACATTGAGCATAGTATTAAAGTGATTGCTAATGATTATAAATACTGTAATAATTAATTGAAGACTTTTCTTAATTAGTTTTACCCATATTCATTGTTGTTGCAAATGTGTTTTAATATTTGTATGATATTTGTTTATTTAAAATAAAAAATAATTTTTAAAAATATAGAAATAAAAATGTTGTTAGTGAAAAGTATACTGATGTATTTGTGGTTTATTGGTTGTAATAGAAATGGAAAAGACACAACTATACATCTCCCTACAACCCCAAGACATACACTTCTATTAACTCATTTAGATTGCATTTAAAGTCATTATTTATTTGTATTTAATCGGTGTCACCCTGATCAATAGCATCACACACTACCATATATGTATACTAATAAATTATTAGTAGTAATAATTAGAACCCAAACTTAGACCGAACATCAAAACCCGACCCGGCCTAAACCCATGGAGTTTGAGCCCAACCCGCCCCATACCCACCTCCGGGAAACCCACGGGTTCCCGTAAACTCCGGTTATTTTCTTATATAAATTTTACATATATGATTTAAATGTGCAATAATTGATAGTGGATATACTATCCTGGTCATTGTAGATTGTTTGGTGATCGTTCCTATTATTGAAGCACTATCAAAATCATTTACAATATACAGTAATATTAACAAATTAATTCATGAATAAATATATTTTTATTTAAATAGTTGTAATCTTAAAAGTAGTAACAATATAATATTAATAAAATATTAGTAAATGAGACAAGCACATACCAAAATTTAACTGTAATGATGACATGTAGTAATTGAATACATTATAGTTTGTATAATGAATTAAATAAACTGCATTGCATTGAAAGTAGTATTAACTTTTGTACTACTCATAGAGTTCATGTCATCATTTGATATGTGCCTGTCTCAAATGCTGACAATTGTGAGTATAGAATATTATAATAATCATTAAAATATGTAATAATAAATAAATAAATATTTTGTTTATTTATTACTATATAATAACAAAATAAATTACATAATTTTTTAACAAAATAGCATAATTTAATACTTATCGTTAGTAAATGAGGCAAGATAATAGGAATAATACTTTTGTAAAATCTTCATTAAATACATGATAGCATACGCATCTTGCGACTACTCAAATATTATATATTGTACACCACATTATAACTATTTTCACTTATAAGTAGATTAGTTAATACTAAAGGGTTAAAACTTATTAATAGAAAATAAATACATTATATTTGAGTAGTCGCAAGATGTGTTTGCAACCACGTATTTCAAGATTAATTCATAAAGGTTTTATTTATATTATCAAAGCAGAAATACATTTTAAAATATAGATGAGTATAAGTTATCTTAAAAATAAATAACTTTATTATGATATTTTATAATAATTTGTTATTACTGTATATATTAATATTATAGTTAATAAGTTGTGAATTTGATAGAGAAAGTGCACATATGTTAAGCACCAATCATTTTCTTGACGGTATACCCGGGTATTGAATAGACAAATAGCGCCAAAAGTAATACAAGTAACACAAAGCATAAGCCTTTGATTATAAGCCATTTATAGTTATGCCAAACGATATAACGAATGGATTTCAATGGGTTGAGAACCCATAGGAATGAGGAGTCGGGACGATTAGGCCGGTCGAGAGGGTCGGGCTCTCCTCTGCCAAACCCGACGGGACTGCGTTCAGCCTCTATTTTATTGAAAAATGAGTATTTTATTGAAGACACATCCGGAAAGTGAAATCTACACAAATCTATACAAACCCTCTCGTGTCAAGAGCTGCAATTCTGCCTCCACTTTGCCCTAAGTATTCACAATTCATTACGTGTTGAGTTTCATTAGTAGATTAATACCGACATTACAGTATGAATGGCATTACTATGCGATCATTCATTGAATTGTTCAAATAAATATAATAAATAGGGCACATACGGTTAATTCGAGATGTTCTGGGTCATCCTTATCCTTATTGCCGTAGAAAGGCCACCAGCCTTTGATGCGTTTCTGTTTGAACAGTGAGACAGTAGGTGTGGACCTGTCGTTCCTCAACATATCTAATGAGCAAAGTTTGGCGGTCTTCGCACCTCTCGGAAATCGGTTCAAGTCCAGAGTGATGGCCCCTACAGGTCGTGGCATTCATTCACTTTACTATTGATAAGATGTCATATAAATGAGTGGTAAATACCGAGAAAGTCATCGGCAGAGAAGTGGTCGGCGTCCCACACCTGCAGGAATAGTCGCGCCGGGATCTTGCATTCTGTCTCGTAAATTATAATTGACGATAAATTTAAATATTATTTGCCATTATAATCAATAGATTTATATAAATATTATCCATAGTTTTATAGTCACTATAAGTTTATTAACTTTTATTCTATAAGTGTTATTGTATTATATAGATAAATTACTTTCCTATAAGCCAACTATTTGATTATAGAATAAAACATACCGGTATTTATTAAAAACCGACATAAGTAGCATTACCCGTCTCGTCCCACGAAAACATGGACTCCTTCCTGGATGTGACGATCTTGTCCTCTGCCGGTAAATATTCAAACGGAAAGACAAAACGCCAGTTGAAATTTCCTTCGCCGGTGAGGGACCGGTAGTGGATATCAGTGCACTGGACATCTTCAGGTCCTGTAAGCCATCTGTTTGATGAATACATACATAGAATAAAATGTATTTATTAAATACAAATACATATTTGTAAGGATAGTTTGACATGAGAGGACAGACCCCTTCACATAAATGTCAGACATCTTTTCGCCGGTGAAGAAGGCGTCGTCCTCTAAGAGCACGTCTTCTGTGTTCCATATAATTACTCGCAATTCATAACTCTTTGGTTTGCGGGGAGATATGTCGATAGCAGGAGGAGGTGCGGGTCCGTCCTTCGCAAACATGTCGACCCACATCTCAATCTTTCCCTGATCTAAACCCGGTTTGTCGGGATGGTATAGACTGCGGGTTTCAATGTGTTCAGGGACTAACTCTCCGGTAATATGCTTCCAGTTGTGAAGTACCACCAAAGCCATGTCCTCTTCAGACATTAGGGGCAGTTGTGTCATCACATCATTGCTGGTGTCTCCAAATCTGAATGTTGTTAAGCCAACCCTCACCTTCTGTGGGGAAATCACAGGACCCGTCAGTTTGTGGTCTCTGCAGAGTTTCTGCAGTATTTGTGAAGGTTTTAGCGAATCCCTCCATTGGTTTGGACCATATCTATATCCAAATTGAAGCCAATTACTAATGATTTAAATAACGCGAGAAAATAATACGTTTCATAGACTTTGGAGAGACCACATGTGGCCCTATGTTTAGAGTAGAAGCGGTTCTCTAAGTCTAATTTGGTTTCCCCGATCAGATCATCCGTACCAAACAGATCCCAATCATATATCTGTATCGTACACATCGAGTCCTGAGGGAAAGTGGCGTCAAATTCAAAGCATCTGAAAGATTGACAAAATAAATGAGACATACTGTACTGTATTTATAAGTTATTAGTGATTACGGTACAATTCAAGCATTTATTTGGTCACTTACTTTCCAAATATTGGATTCAATTGCTTAGAAATGTAGTTATCTTTATCGCTGACCCGTTTTGAACCCAAGTTAATGACAACATAAGGATCTGCTTTGCCATTGAGATCTGCTGGATGTAAATCTGATCCTTTGACCACATAAATACGAACCAACACATTAATTGGCTCATTGCTGGGTGTGAAACGGGATTCAAATATCGAGTTGGAAAATGGGTGGCGATATAGCTTAAGTGAACCCTTAAACACATTTTATTAATTGATATTAATTGATATGATTAGTAAAATAGATATTAAATAATGAAAACGCATTTCAAATATGACTTACTTTAAATATACCACAAAGCCTAGAAAGGTCGTCACTATCATTGCCATATCGTTTGCCTCTAAATAACTCAAACGATTGCAGATATTCTGTGAAGCCATCAAATTGTGGACACAATTCTAACTCATTTGGATATATTTGGATCAAATTGGATGTTTGTTTGGTGGCAACCGTTGCTTTGTCTGCCTTCTCTCTGGCCTTCTTAGGAGACATACATTTGTTTGAGGATTTTCTTTGCTTCGACTGAATACTGAAATTATGGGCACTGTTTTGCATTGACTTCTTGGTGTCCCCGAAGGCATCTAAGACTGCGGTCACGTCTCCGATGTTGTCTTGAATGGTGAGCTCAACGGAGGCGAAGTATCGGCTCCACCAGTCGCTGTTGTCCTCCTCGTCCATCTCATAACTATCTGGACTCTCGTGGACCATATGTTTGAGTGCTTTCAGAGAACTCTTTGAATGACTTTTCGAGACTTTTGGATTTAAATCCAAGGACTGCTATTAAATAATAAATGAGTGGTTGATTGCATATTTATAAAAGCTTGAAAACATACAAATCCGACGTGTTTTGCATTAATAATGACATCCTGTCTCTTATAAGAGAAAATCTCTTTAGTAGTGTGCACATTGAATCTGGACAGGGTCATAATTATAGAATTAAAAAATAAAACAGATTTATAAAATAAAACTTTAAATATTAGTTTATTTACCTGGACAGGGAAGGAATAACATGAGTTCCCACTAATACAAAGCGCCCAAAACTCCTGCAATCCATGACCCGAATGGTAAGGGGCGGGCAATACATCTCTTGGTCGGGCAGTTCCAGATCGATGTGTTTGACGGGAATCATAAAATTTGGATTCTTTTTATAGTTCAGTATAATAGACGATTGCAATATATTGCCGGCACACTCGATGTCCACCCGAGGCCTGTCCACAGACCTAATAAATTAAAAAATAATTAAATAACACTTTTATATGAATAGAATAAAACTTATGAAAACTGACATCAATTGAACCCTTTTTAAGTCTCTCAGACCCCAGAAGAGCACTTCTATTCTGTATTTTGAAAGCGTTGGACGAATGGATTCCGGCACAGGATATATACCCAACTCATACATAACAGACCCGGTATTTACTATTGGAGTCAACGAGGATTTATAATCAGGCAAAGTGTCTGGATATGAATTAGATTTCGATTTTTCGGACAACTGATTTAAAAATTTGATAAATAAAAATAATTAGTATTAAAACAATTAAAAATTAATGAATTTAGTTAATGAAAATTGTATAAAGACCTGAATCAATTCAAAACAGGCCAATAGCTGCCCGGCCGCCTCGTCCCCTCGCCATACATCAAACCATTGCAATTGTGGGGTCGAGTACTTCATGTCTGAAAATCTGATATAACTATCTTTGGCAACGGCTCTGCCAATAAACTCTGCCTTTCCCTAATAGAGTGACAATAATTATAATAAATATAATTTCTATGAATTTCGATCAAATACAGACCACATTATCTCTGTCGTAGATTTCAATGACAATAACGGGTGGATTATTTAATAGATCATTGCGTTCGCCATAGAGAGTAATGTCTGTAAATATAAGCATCTGATCCCAAGTGGGGCTCAATGTCTCCTCAATGACTTCAGTCGTCTGACACGAGTCCGACAAAATCACTTTTGCAAACGGGTCGGACAGACCGGACGAATCGCTTGCAAATAGACTTCTAGCCTGATATATATGGGCCCGTAATTCAAACCTATGTTTACTTTCGTCTGATAGGAAAGTAATGAGAAATTTAGTTTATATTTAAATACTGTATTATGATTTTATTTAAAATATTTGTCTGATAGAACTTATATTTGTTATGTTATCCAGAATTAATTTATCTTAAATTGAATAATAATTATACTTACTTTCGTAGTATATAGTATTGGGAGGCATAAGATGAGACTTTTCGGCGCTTTCTAACTCATCTAACATTCGGTACCCTTTAGGCAATCCTTTTGCAAAATATTTCTTATGTTTTTTGTTGCCGATCCAGACGTACAGATAAACCATATTTTGTATCAAACCATTCAATACTTCGTTTCTTTTTCCCGATAGCTTTAAACATAAATTTAATACAAATAATTAATTGGTGATGAAAAACTAAAGAATAATATTAATAATAAATAATTTACTTTAAGGAATATATTATGGAGTTTAGCGCATGATTTGCCGCATTCCTCGTCAACTATAGAGAACAAGTAATGTCTGGTTTCCAGTCTTTGATAAGCAATACGTTTGTCACCGCATAAGAGCCACAGGAATATATCAGGCATTGAGTGTTGGGGCTAATGGTTTGAACAATAAATATTAATTTATTTAAATATTAATTCATTAAGTCTTACATCTTTTGTCAATTCTTTAAGATTATTCAGAATTTTATAGACATTTTTTATTTGATCTCTTATGTTGTTTTCATTGGTATTTTGATTGATATTCTTGGAGTTGGCGATAATGGTCTCAATTTCTCGTTGAGACATAACAACCCTTTCTTTGTCCAATTTGGTCTTTCCGATAGCACTTCCTCCAAACCCTTTGCTTATTGTCAGAAATCGGCTATCATTTGAAAATTTAAAACATTAATTCAATTCATCTATTAATAATATTTAATTTATTTTTTCATCTAATTCTAACTAATTGTAAACATTGTAAACATTGTAAACATTGAAATTATTGGGATTTGTTTGTCTATTAATGTGTTTGTATGACATCTGCCATAAGAAAAGGCTGCAAACCTGCAGTCAGTCATGAGTTCTTCGAGAACCCCACGAAGTCTTCGATCGGGATGTGGTTTCTCGAGTCGAATCATTTCCTGGACATCGAGTAATCCTATCTCCAAATTGAGTCCAATCTTCTCAATGATATTAGAATTATAGGCTCGTCTTCTGTGGTCAGGTAGGGATGACTTGAGGTAAAGACATGGCTTTTCCGCTTCGATCGGCAAATGATAGTATTGGCGATCCGTCATAACCGGCCGAATTGGCGCTGTTGTGGATCTCATGTCATAATTGTATTGTTGGCTAACAAATGACAGTAAGTTTTGCTTTTCATTTGAGTGATTATTGTTGTTATTGACAAAATAAAGTGATTTATCATCAAAATTATCATAAGTAGGCGCCGCCGAGTCCTGAGCCAACTCCTCCTCTTGTATGCCATCGTTGCCGATAGATATTTCGTAGTGGAGGGGTTTGTCCGCAAATTTCCTGTCAATCATATTGGACTCAAATATTGAGGCAAATAACAAAAACTCTTCGGTCTTTCCGTAGTTATTCTGTATATGAATTGACAATCATATGAGCAAATGGATGACAAATGAATAAAATGATAATAAACTGAGACCTCATTTAGTGGTTGTGTTGGCTCTACATTAACCCCGGATATGTTGGCCTCAACTGACTCGAGTATCTCTGTATGGATGGCCACCAGAATCCTTCCCCTATACATAATGCCTTCAGAGAAGCCGTCGTTCAGAACGGACTGATCTTCAAATATAGAGCCGTCTCTTATGGAGCCGTAGAGGTATATGAAAGACGGACCAAATGTCGGTAAAAACCCTTTTGAGCCCTCGTTTGATATCTTAGAGAGTGGTATGAAATGAGTGGCGATTATGTTATCGCTGACGGGATCCGAGTCTCGGATTTGTATTTTGAGGCGTTGGCATAATGGGGGGAACATCTCTGTGATCACTATCTGTTCGTTCCATACGGGAGTACAACAGTTCTTCTTAACAGATGTCTTACAAGACATCCCCGCAAACGACACCTACAGGACAGGACAGTACGGTATTACAGGTTATTACTTATACACCAAACACACATCCATTTCATTCTTTAATCACTTTATACTTATAATTTAGTACCGGAGAAATAGTTTTTCAGATGATAATTTGAAAACCAGCCCTAAATATAATCCAGATCATTCACTAAGAGATTTACAATAAACTTATAAAATTATGAATATGTGAAATACATTAAATTAATCATATAGTAAAATAAAAGTTTATTAATTAAATAAGCTTATTATTAAACATATTCATAGTAAACTTGAAAAACATTAATATAATAAAGAAAGACTTTTTTAAATATTACTAATTTATCTATTTTTGTAAATTAACTTTTATTTCACTATATGATTAATCTAATATATTTTACACATTCATATTAATATAAGTTTACTGTAAATCTCTTAGTGAATGTCCTTGATTATATTTAGGGCTGGTTTTCAAATTATCACGTGAAAAACTATTTCCCCGGTATTATAATACTGTACTTGGTGTACATTGTACAATATTACACTAACATCAAATTTTGGTGACTAACCATCTTCTATTTTTAAAAATAAACTTAAAATAAACTTAAGCTACAGTTTTAGGTATATCTTTGAAAATTATAGAGTGTGAGAGTCGGGTAGACTCTACACTGTAGTAGGGTACACTATTCTGTATAAGGTAATGTATTGTATACTACAATAGCATAATTTATATGATCTAAACATTATAAATGCGTATGAGGGCAAGTGAGGGTAAGAAAAATAATAAATACTTTTGGCATATATTAGTAGCAGAAGTTTTTTATAAGCTTTTTAATAGTAAACCAAAGCATGAACTTATCAAACGCTTATTAAAGAAGAATATTTTTGCAAATAAAAATTTCCTAAAAGTACTTATTTTTCTCATTTGCATATAAATAATTTGTTTGATGTCTCACCTGAACATATGGTGAGACTAATTGTTTGGTATCACTAGAGAGTGCTTTCTTAACGTTGGCCACTATTCCTGATTTATTTCTTGGCAGTCCATCGGCCCTATAGATTTTGATGACGTATTTTGCGTGTTGGCGCTCAGCGATCACACCGCGTGGCAACAGTAAATTGCTAACCATTTAATAATTCACATTATTATTAATACCCGTTTTAAATTAATGCCATTCAAACAAATTTATTTTATTAATATTGTTATTATAGTTCATTTTAAAAGCTTAAATCCATTTTTACCCCTCAATATCATCATCACTTGAGTCATTTTTAATGGGAGGTTTGATAGCATCGCCTTTTCCGGCCACTAATAGATCACATTTGATATACCCTTTAGCACCGGACCCAATATCATCCATGTCTGTAAGTAAAGCCCATTTGTGGTAGAACTGGTGATCTGTTTATTTAATATATTTGTTGCTAATTTAATACTTGTTGAGCAAACTGCTTGTGTTTTTGAAATTAGATAACATAATACAAACAAATGAGTGACCTGTCTGTGCGAATACAGTTCCCACATCGAGTTTAAAACTTCCGATCACTTTTCCCGATCGTATTATATTTCTTGAGTACAATACGGTTAATGTAAT